TATTTATGTTGATTGAAGCAAATTTATCAGTGAAAGTGCAGCCTATATATTGGATATAAAAAAATGAAAATCATACAATCAGGGTTAGGTTTATTTGTGGATAATTTACACTTTATAAAATACTTTTTGACTTAAAACTTGTACCAATGTTTGGAATATTCACTTTTTTATTTGATGAGACAATTTATAACCATAACTAAATTTAGACCATTGTTGTCTACGACAGCGAAAACATCAACCCTGTTTTGCGACCTTCAAAAAGCAAAAGTCACTTCCACAAAGTTCCAATTGTCTGGCAGAAAAACTGCAGTCAAATTGCAACAGAAACAAATCTCACCTGATGACAACCCATGCAGTCAAGTCATTGTTTTGTTATGCAAATTAACCCATTCAAGCACCAACCAAAGGACAGGTGTGCCATAACCTTGTATTGTAACCTTGTTTGCTATTGAGGGCGGAGCAAGAGTGTGTTGTCAAACTATAGGTCAAAGTTCAAACTATGAGAGTGAGAGAGCAATCTGTTGTGACTGTTGTTAGTTTTTTTCAACGACGTGACATACTCTGTGAAATAAAGGAAGTGATGGCATATTAAATGCACAGGAAACTCATTCAGGAAAGAGTGTGCATTTCTAGTTCTGCGTATTGAGGATCAGCCATTTGATAGTGAGGGCATCGCGTGGATTGTATTGTACATGTGGTTTGCAAGTTTGATCAATCAGTGTTAGTGGTGCCACAGTGGATTATAGCAGTCTGTTTTCGTCATCATCAAAAGTGTGCACCGGGCAGACTGGCAAGTAATTTTTCCTAACAGATTTTAATGGTAAGTAGAGTAGGAAATTTCTGTTCATGTTTCGTACGAAGTTAACAGCTTTTTCCATCATAATATTCAATGTGGCGTTAATGTTTTAATCTTGTATACTGGTAAAACATACATGTACGGTAGTACATGTGCCGTATCTTCATTGTGAAGTGATGATTCTTATCTCGTGCTTTGACTGCCAAGCTCCACTGACAAGTAACATCACAGTTAAGAGATTTTACATTTGGATTTTTAGTTGAGAATATCACTTGTAAATATTTTGGCGGTAGGACTTTTCTTTACTGGTATGGAAATGTATTGGCTGTTGTTTGTTGTTCTTTCTTGTAAGTCATGTGGGTTGTACTTTGCTTTTGAAAAATGTTAAATTTTGGCATTTCGTGTCAGATCATCAGATGTAAATTTCACAGATCACTATAATGTCATAACAGGATTATGCGTAATGTAAAGTAAACATGGTTAAGTTTTAGTAGCTATGGTATGGTGACTCTGTAAAAAAGTTTTAAGTATATTATCACGCTCTATCAGCTTCCAGATCAGGAGGTATCCTTTGTGTACACTGTCAGTGTACTGTATTGGAAAGTGCACTGTAGTGTTACGGTATAGAGCAGTACTTGTTCAATATTGTGTAGGCTGTACACACATGTACATGTGTACATTTACAACAATGATTTAGATGGTCGTTTGATTTTGAGCATGATTTGAGTGCTTGCAGTATTGTCAGCAGTTCGGGGCTGATCATTTTCACTGCCACTTGTGCCAGAAATCCATCTCTGTGAACCATAGCAAGCACGGTACGGTAGGTGTCATCTCAACCACTTCTCAAGTTTTCGGCAGATTGTAATTATTGTACATTGTATTACAAGTACATGAACAAAATACATTCAAATACCAGTACATGTACATGTGAATACATTCATATAAATGTACATGTATGTACCGGTACATACATAGTAGTACATGTACGTTTGTGCATAGAGCAAGGAACAGATGTTTATTGGTATTCACACAAGATTTGAGACAAGTTGTCCCTCCCTTCGCACTGTTTCAACAAAATACCCGGTATTCTTCTTGTCGAGCCTGATTTTTGAAAAGCTTAAAGGGAATATACATTTGTACAACATTTGGTTTTGCTCTAATTTTCAGAAATAAATGGATTTGGAGGATTAGTATGCTATAGAAAATATTGTTAAACTGACTTGTTTCATCTTTATGGCTTGTACATGTAAATGCTGGGAAAAGTAAGAAAACCAATTTTGTTCTTGCAGTCTGGCTCCCTGACCCCACTTAAGATGAAACGGAGCAGTTTACAGACTTTGGGGAATTGTAAGGTCAGAGAATCAGCTTAGCAGGCTTGTACCCCTTCACAGGTGTGTAATCAATTGCAAGAGTTTTTGCAGTTTTTGCACCAAAGAGCTTGCAAGCAGTTCTTGAAAAAAGCCAGTTTTCTCCAAGGCTGGTTGGCCGACCAGCGTTGGAAAAATACAATTTTTCTTGAAAATGTCAGCACACCAGGAGCCACGATTTTGCAGGATGCTTTAGACTGTCATTCCCTAACAATCCATTTTGGTATTTCTATTTTGTGACAATCTCATCATTTCGTTTTGTGATGTTTTCGAATTTTGTATCTTCCCTATAATTATCCCTTACTCTCTGAGGGTAGTTTACTGCATGTCAGTTGGTTATGCCAATGCCCTCCAGCTGCAGTATATTGGCAGATAAACTATCTTGACAGTGAAGGCTCCAATTGGCAGGAGTTGGAGGCCCTGGAGGGTGCCTGATACTGACCAGCTGGGGGCACTCACTTTGTTATCAGAGGACTCTCATTGTTCTCTGTGGCATGTATTGGAGTGCCTGTCCAGTTACCCTTGAAATGACATGGCAGATATTGGAGGGCCATGCAAAAAACATAGGAGATTTTCTTGAGGCACATATTGGCATGCGTTGGAGGGTCAAGTAGGGTAAGGGTTAATCATTGTTACACTGTAATATACATACAATGTGGTGTGATTGATATGACATCCATTGCATGCAACAAGAAACCTCATAAATTTTGATTGGTACTATATCAAATTACTAAACATACAGGAACAACATAAATCCTGTTATTATTGATGTACTGGCAACTCTGTGAATGAGGTGATATGGTAGGACACCTGTAACATGAACCATGATGCATGTATACTTGGAGTCCCAAGTACGGGTACCCAGAAATTAGGTGTTTGATTGCTGCAGATTTAGCGAACATTTTACTGATGAGTGATGACCAAATAAAAACCTACATTAAAGGGAAAATCACAACTCACAAGAAAAATACTTTTTGTCATAAATTTTGTTGCAGTGATGAAGGAAATTAACAGCTGTGACGATGACCCTCCTCGGGCCACCGTATCATGAGGATATAACTTTTTTTCTGATGACTTAAACTGCTGCAAACTGTTTGCTGACTGGATCGACTTGAAATACAGAGAGTGTGACTCTTCAATTTAAGGATGTGACTGCGTTTAATTTTGTAAACGTTCATCAAATATGTTAAGAACTGTTTATAAACATGAGCCATTTTACAAAGGCTGACACACGCCCATTATGCAGATCGGCATGGTTAATTAATTAAGACATGATAAATCGACAATGCTTCGCCTAATTATCCATAATAAATAGCAGGCAGCCATTGAAAAGGTAAAAAGTAAACTATGGACCCATAATGTAATCAAGTACTGCCGTGCTTCTAAGGTTTTGCAAATTAAATTTGAAAACATCATTAATTTTTTTGGCAAAGGAAGATCCGATGAGCGTAGCCCTTTTTATTGTCAAATTTTGTTTCAACATTTTGGAAAATTTGTAAAGGTATTTGGAATTTTTTGTTTAAATGTGTATGCTAAACATGCAAATGACACATCCTTACTTTCATCCTTTTGGGATCTTTCTCAAATGCAAAAAAAAAGCCATTTTTATTTCTGATAACAGAATTAATGAACACTGTCACTTACCGGTGCTTCCCCGGCCATCAAGAACCCAAATGCAATTTATCAGTCGTGTAAATACCGGTTGCAATTAATTCTCAAGGATGGACGCGACATCTAAATTAAAATCCTGGTATTACTGTCATTTAGAATTAAGCCGCCCGTTTATATGCTTCCAGTGCTGAGCACGCTATCAGGCCCACAGTCTTGAAATAATATTGTAGATTAATGTATTTGTTCCTAAATAATGCCATAGGAAGGAGGTTTAAAGGTAGAGTACCGGTAGATTATTTGCAGCTGTCGAAAAAATAGTATCTGACCAAATTATTGTGAAAAAGCATACTTGGTTTGATAGTAATGACAGTAAACTCCTTGTTATTAAAATAAGTCCTTCTGAAATGCTGTCATTTGGAAGAAACAATAGAAAAAGGTCATTTCTAAAGATGAGTCAAATGACACATATTTTTGAAATTTCTATATGTTTTTGGTTTGTAATTGGGCGCATCCATGAATGGGTGCATCGCGTTGACATGATGGATGTGCACACGGCTGTTATTATTCGTCAGTTCAGTGTATGACATCACGTACATGTAGCTACAATCGGCTGAATGAGAATCATGTTCTTAATGTTGATTTTGGGATTGTGTCACGAGAGGACGCAATTAATACAATATATGACTTGGTGACTTTTGAACTGAACTCAAGATCCAAAATATTGTGTTTTCTCAAAATATGCATATGTCCGTGTTCTACTTAATCCCCAAGGACAGACACACAAAGGGAGAACAACAGATCCTTTCAGTCCTCGGGAGTTGGGTCTTTTGTTCAAAACTGTCCTGATCTGTAGTAAGTTTGTGTGCTTAGTCTATGGGAAAGAGTTATGTTACAGGGACAAAGGGAAACACAAAGCATTGTCCTCTGGAATATAGTAAAACACGACTATCAGTACTTTTTTTAATATTGCTCAAACTTCAGGTAAAAATGTCAGAGTTCACAAACATCCATGCTTATGCTGTAATGATTTATCCAAAGAACATGTTGCAAGTTGACCTTTAAAAATCTTTCTTTTTTTGGCAAGAATAGGTACAAAAAATACCAACCACCGACCTTGATACATGTAGCTGAGTGGACTTGCAGATTCTTGCCGACTTGCCCATATGCTAGCTTACAATTTAAATAAAAAATCACTCAGAAATCAATTTTTTATGTGTTTCTTTCAGACCTCAGAAAGCACCTACAACGAGTATGACGACAGTGCCTTAACGGACATGAGTGAAGATAACACATCTCCGTTACTCTACGATGGTTTCAGCCCGGCGGTAGACGGTGACGACACGGATAGCGCCATTGCCGGACCAACAATCAACATGAATGGTTTCTTCTCATCGCCAGATCCATTAAGGTTCGTCTTTTGTACCGGTATATTCAAGAAATCCCTGACCATGACCCTCAAAATTCAGGTGTAGGTTTTGGAGGATTTTGAAGAAGAAAACATAGATCCAAATCACTGTTACAGTGCAGCGGTAATTTTTCTGAAAAAAGTGGAAGATAACAAGGAATTTTTGAAGTCTCTGGGCAGCTGCACAATCGGGGGAATTGGGGGAGGGGGGAGACACCCTCCAACTATGGGGGTGGGGGTGCTGTTCAAAGCGGACAATTTTGAACACTATCACACAATGTGTTGCTATTCGTGGCAGTAGAAGGTGAAATTACAAACAAAAACTGTTCCGCTAAAATAGCAATAAATTTTGAGCTGTGCATGCAAAGTGTCACTAAGTTTATAGAGCACACAGTGTAAAATTTGCCTCAGCATATCAGTTTGGGTGGGTTTTTTTTTGGGGGGGGGGGTAAATATACATGTACAGTAAATGGTATACATGTATACAATGTAATAGTATTTAAATTGGTCAGTATAGATGTCTAATCTCAAACTGTAATCTCACTCTTTAGCTGAATGCATGTATGTAAAAATAGGAATAGTCTTTCAAAATACTCAAAATTGCTTTTCTATCCAAGAGTGCATGGCAGTTCAGTGTTCAATTTGGCATGCTGAATTAAGTTTCCTCAATTTTCCATGAATTTTCCATGAATTTTCTTCCCCCAGAGTTCAACAAATTGCAGAGGACAGTAGCCATGCCTCGTCGCTACCCAGCGATGACGAACAAAGATTTGAAGACTTTGGGCAGAACGTAAATGCCAGCGGAATCGACATCGAGATACAGGAGGCCTCCAGTCTGAGTGATTCGGTGGATACCATCGAGAGGGAGACGCCGTCCAGCTTGCTCAATGGGTAGGTGTCAAAGGTCAAGAGATGTGCGTGTCAAAGGTCATATACACTACTAATGCGGCTAACACATTTGAATGTGTACGTTCAATGCTCTTGATAACCTAGCCTTGAAAAAAAATTAACTGCGATGGAATTGCCTGGAGTATTTTGTTATTTAATTTTTTTCAAGAAAATGAAATCCTAATGCAAAGAAAATAACGGCGTCTGCCTAAGTCAAAATGTCAAGGGCCCATCCTTGTTGGTTTTTAATTATTAAAGCAAGGATAAGTCAATCTATACAGTGGCTCAAAAACAAATTAAAAATGGAAAATGGAAGGATTAAATAAATGTCTAATGTAAAAAAAAAAGATATAAGAAATATGAAGTATGCTGAATTGGGCCTGAATTCAGCGACCGAGACATGTTCTCACTAAGCCGATTGCAGCTACGCGATGTCGCGCACTGATCCGACGAATTATAGCAACCGCGCGTGCTTGTGCATCGTGTCAACGCCCTCGCGCGCTTCGCCGAATAAAAAAATGAGCTACTAATGGAAATTTCCAACGGTGCGTCTTAAGACGCACCGTTGGAAAGGCCGTTTTGTTGATTACTTCAAAATGACAGCTTGCCAGAAAGAATAATTTCACAGGGAGTTTAGTCCACTTACTATCTTTCAACCAAGTAGGTTTTTCAACAATAATTACGCCAATTACTTTACGGATAGCTGCAAATGATGGACTATAGCTTTAAGTTTCATCCTGGAAAACAGATTCCTTTTCAAAATGTACTGTTATTCTAGCAATACAAATATTATTCACTTTTGAATGAGACATCTACCGAAAACATCGGCCCACGATTCGATATTGAATTATTCATTTAAGATTTCAAATTTTAAGTTGACAGTTTATTCATGGACAAAAAAAAACCTGCATTTGTTGAAGAGCGCAGGGAATGCAACTTTAATGTCATGGTGATTCTATTTGACAATTGCAGAATCAGTTGCCAGACATACCGGTACATGTACGATAAAAAACATGCATTGGTCAGAAAAAAACTTGTATTTGAAATTTAGATTTTGTAACACATGCATACATTAACTCTAGTTGATGGGTCAAGTATAAATAACAATGCACAAACCGTTTTATTTCAGTTTGTTTATTTTTGATCTTAAACTTCATCACATTATCACATTTGAAATTGCCCTAAATTTCTCAAACACTAAAAAGTACATGCAAAAGTCCCATTTCACCAATTGAATTAAACAGCACGCCTTGAGGAGCAAAATCCATTAGAAATTAACTTTCGCAGTGAAGGAAAACAGTGATTTTCCGGCATATGCTTTTCATTCTTAGCCTCATGCGAAGCGTTTCGCATTCTAATAATTTTCGACGAGTGCATCACAATGTTGTCGCCGTCTATTTCTTAAGGGCAGCATTAAAATATATGTGATCGTAATGCCAGACGAAAACGGACCTGTGGGCGTTTTTGTCTGGTTCATGTAATTGCGTCCGGAACAAGTCGATATTCCTTCGCTGTACGTACGTCGTGGTTAGGCCAAGATCACGCTTTTGGCCACTCTTCACATCTGTTATGAAACGGGTACATTTTTCTGTATTAAATAATGCTCTGCAACAGCTTTTAATGTCCCTTCTCAGTCAAACAAAACAAAATACAGTGATGAGGTTGTTTTTGGATGGGGGGGGGGGTGTGGCGGACAATCATTGAACGTTCACACTTTTCTGGAAAAGAATATTCACGATTAATTAGCAAGGGTCTTGCGAATTACTTCGACCCTCGTTTAATTGTTTTGTTTGTGAATTAAAGCATTAGTTGCATGTAACTTCTTTTAAAAAAAAGAAGTGGTTTTATTTCGTGCAATTATCAACCAGGAAGCAAAACTGACTAATTTAAAATATTTTTACTGCATGCAGCACAATAAACTCTTCAACATCACAAGCAAGTTGCTACAAAAAAAACATGCATATACATGTATGTGTAAATATTGATCAACCTACTTGTCCTTACCTAGTTTTCATATTCGATAATAAAATTCTATAATAAAATTTTCAGCAGGTACTGGGTACAGCTGAAAGCTATAGCAATTTTTTGTCACAGTGAGCAAAATGTTCACACAAAACTGCAACGTTTTATATCCTTTGACTCTGTGCTTCGCAGCATGGATGACAAAATCCACTGTTTTTTCCCATGTGGCTCGCCCAATGCAAGCCCTAATTTCCCTTTGCAGACAAATTGTTCAAGTGCACCCTCGAAGACTGTCTACAGTGATCAATAAAGACTGCAATGCAGCCTGCATATTGAGTAGCGCAGTGAACAAAAACAATCAGCAAGGATAATGCTTAATACGCAGTGTGGTTACATGTGATAATATACAAATACAACATGGTTTGTGGGGAAATAGTGAAAACTATTGACCCCGAGGTGTTGGATGATTCGCCTTGGGAGATAGTCCCGTCATCCAACACCGAGGGATCATTTGTTTTCACTTTTTCCCCGCATAAAAAAAAACAACATATTGTATTTGTTTTTACTCTACCTCATAAATATTCATCAGGCAGCTGCGGCATTTCATTGGTCCATTCCACCATGTTTTTGATAATGCAGTATTTGGATAAAGTCAACGTTTTCTAATTTGAGGAGACAAACAGAATAGAAAGTTAATGTTGTGTCGTTTAATAACTTTAACATTCACACAAAACACTGGATTTATTGTGTAAAATTTCACCCACTTCCTCCACGGATAAAATCGCAAAGCGAGCACCACTGGTCGCCATTTTGATGTATTCCGTAATAGACTGGCACTACTGCCCTCACTGGGGATCTGCATGGTACGCACGTAAAGTTCATGCGTCGTTGGTAAAGAGATAACACAGCACTGGAACAAATCTAAGGCTGCGACCCAGGTGTGTGATAGTACCGGTGCCTCCCTGGTTTTTGCACGTCATGCCCGCATACGAAGACGCGGGGAAATAGTAAAAACTTTTACACAGTTGAGTTGCTGGAATTGACCAATGAAATGCCGCTGTTTTCTGATGAATATTCATGAGGTATAGTAATAGCAGATTGCATTCAATGTTAGTACACAATTTTGCATGCACTTATTAGTTTTTTACATGTACATGTATGAAGTTTAATAACTAACCATCATTTTTCCCCAGCTCCGACTTCAAGTTGTATAGTACATGCACATCAAACCCATGTTAGCCCCGATCCTTATGTTAACGATTACCCATGATTCATCAGCCTCCCTTGACCTTTGTCCCCGTTCCTTCCCATAGTTCATTGCTGCCACACGATAGCCGGTCCCGGCCAATCATGATGAAGAGGGACGTGTGGTCTCACGTTCGCCGGATGAAATGGTACCGAAACGAGAAAAATAAACACGTAACCCATGTTTAAATGTTAACACATTGTAACACTAGCATCATGCATGCTGTGCTGTACATGTATTCGTTCACTGTACACTGTACACTCCTTTCCCACTCACCCATGTACATGTATGTAACACCTTTCCTCCGAAACCCTCGCATTTGGTAGATTTAGTGTCAAGTCTTGTTCACCATAGATCGTCCTTTCCATCTTGTGATTATTAAAAGTGTATGTGGTTTTCTGCCCTTTCCATCTTGTGATTATTAAAAATGAATGTGGTTTTCTGCCAAATTATTTCCATAAAATAATGTTGGTGAGGATAAATTACAGTGAGATGGACAGAAGATGTGAGGGGAGAATGTGTAGAGTAGGCAGAGGAAGATGGGTCATTCTATTAATTGAGGGTCCAAAGTTTGACCCGTTTCCTGTCCCTGTTACCTTGGCGTTTCATAATTTACCATTCAAGTATCATTAAGAATGACTTCAAATAAGGTAAGGTAAAGGTCCCATAGCCATGGTAGGGGTCCACTGTGTCTTGGGCGCGGCATATGAGTGGCGGTGCCCAGTCCTCTCCTCTCGCCGTCTTACCTTCCCTGAACGAATCAGGTACCCATTTTACTGCTGGGTCGTCAGAGAGAGTTTTCCAGTTTTTGGTCCGAATGGGATTCGAACCGCCAACCTTCCACTCAGTAGCTCCAGGCTCTAACCGCTCCGCTACAAGGCCCCTCTGACTTCAAATTATGTTATTTGTTGGGTAGGTTGTTTGCTATTTATAATCACTCTTGGAGGACGACTGCATTTAGGAGTGCATCAGAATTATAAAATCATACATGTAGATGTCAGATGTAACAGGGACAGGAAAACAAGTGGACCCCAAGTTTATAGAATGACCCAGATGGAAAACTCATGATGTGTTTATTGACAGGTCGAATTTAATCGACTAATTTAACAGACTTACAATTGAACTAAATTACTTGTTTGTATGGGTAGACAGAAGGTTTAATTAAATCCACTAAACAAACCCACAGACTCTAGGATTATCCCCTTTCATTCATTTTAAACTGATTCTAACTTTGGTTACTGTGAAAATGAAACATTCATTTATTCGGCGACAGATTTCTCTTTTTATCTGAACTTTGCTGGAGATTTTGTTATGAGAAGAGCTGAAGAATCTTTAAACCCAATGAGCTGGAAAATTAGTTGAACTCAAATAACCCGTGTTTAAAATATAAATGTATTGGATTTTTGAGGGAAAAAATGGTTTTCAAGTTTTTGTTTTTTCAAGCAGATTCATTCCATCTTAGGTTTTTCCCTTCCCAAAGTGTGTGTACTCTATAAACACTGTCCACTACTTGCCAGAAAAAACAATCACAAGATCACTCCATTGGGACTTGAACCCATGACCTCCTACTTACTAGTGCAGACGTCTTACCACTCTACCACTGAGCTCGCAAGCCCTCGGCCAACACTCAGCATTTATGCTATAGAGTACATATACGTCAGTGAAGGACAAAACCAAAAATTAGATAAATCAGCCAGAAGACAAAAACCCGAAAACCATTTAAACCAAATCGGTGACTCGGAACCTCGGCGAAACCCAGCACCATCGCCAGGTGTGGTCATTAGGAGGGGGGGGGGGGCACACTACCAGCTAGAGGGGGCACAATACCAGCTAGAGGGGGCACAGTTCAAGCTAGGGGGGCCCGGCCCCTCTGGGCCCCCTCTGTGAGACAAACCTGGCAAAGCCTACAATTGACATCTTCCCAGTGCAAATTCCATCTTGTAGTTAGGCCGATTGATCTTGTGCACTTCATGACTTTTGTTAGGACAAGCAAGCACATGTATAACAAACAGACCTGCATGTTTAAATAATCAGATCTGTACTCATAATAAACAGGGCTGCACTGATTATTGAACACAATGGCTGACACAAATCATCAAAAAGATAAACAAACACAGATTGACTGGATTGACTGACTGGATTGGCTGAAATACCATAAATGCTCTGGGGCCTCTTTCACGTTCTGCTAGACATTCAAATTTGCTTAGCATAGAAAACGGGTCACCGGCTAAAATGCTATGTGATGCACAGGGTATATTGCTTGTAGCTGGCTCCTGGCCTACTTCTGCTTTGTGAGATAATTTACCAAGAAAAATATTTTCTACCAAGTGGTTTCACAAAGTTGAACCCTGTTGCAAGAATGGGTAGGAATCGATTAGTACTCATAGATGCACAGTAGAGCAGATGTAGTATACATGTACACCCAGGGTGTATTTAACATTGGGGTAGAATTTAAGATGGGGCATCTGCTTGTGATGGGTCATTACTCATTTTACTTTGGTGAACAACAAGAAATGGCATAGGTTGTGCCTTTCCTTTTTTTAATTGAAATGCCAATCACAAAGCCCAAAGGTCACTCAATTGGTGGTGTCTTCAAGAAAACAAGAAAACAAGCCAGGAAAAGAAAGTGCCTATTGATGTTTTGTTCAGCTGAGATAATTTATAAGAAAGGGGAAAGCAAGACTCTGGAAGGAAGAACAAAATGAAGCAGTGTGAGAGAAAAAAACTTGAGGAATACTTTGCTGTATCTGCCACAGGAGTTAAAACATTGTGCATGAGAGGTAGTAGGAAATTATATTTTATAAATTTGGAGTCCACTTTTTTTCCTGTCACTTACATCAGACATAAATGTTATCATTCTGATGCACTTTTCATGCGGTCATCCTCCAAGAGTGATTGTGAATAGAAAACTACCTACCCAACAGATAAAAATCACCTGAAGTCGTTCTTAATGATACTTGAATGGTAAATTACAAAGTACCAAGGTAACAGGGACAGGAAAAATGTCACACTTTGGACCCTAAATTTAAAGAATGACCCATAGAGCCTGTAAAAGTTACGTTAGGGGAATGAAAAGCAAGATCTAATCGAGTGCAGAACATGCCGCGATAATACCTAAGCGATGGAAAAGAGTGGTTGCTGAATTGGTGGAGGCTAGACGTAATAAATTGAAGAGGAAGTCAATTGTCGATGGTGTGGCGAAGACGGCGATTGAGGAATGGAGGTGTGGGAAGACGTTGGGTATCGCCACGGTAACCTGATGCTCGGGGACAAGATACTGGCAGATATGCACTGAAATTATGCCTCTGTGTGAAAGACGCGAAGGTGTCGATTGATATTGGGCGGTGGAGGTGTCAGGTGTAGCCTGAGATGATTAAGTATTGCATTGGTTGTGCGGATTCGGTAACGTCTGGCATTATGTGTGAGTGTCTTTGTTATGATTTATTTTGTCTCGTTGGTGTTGTGGGCAGTAGCACTTGTTGATATTAGAGTTCTTGGGTTGCAAATATGAGAAAGTAAGCTGACTTCTTCCAGCAACATTTTATTTGGGCAATTCCAACGTCACAGCTACATTACAAATATGATTGTTTTTTTACTTTACGAACTCAGTGAATAAACCTAAAAATATATGTTTCAAATCCTATACATCCATCATCTAGTAATAGTCAAGGATAGTGTGCACTACAAATTTTTGGATCATTTCTCTGAATCATTAATTGGATATCTTGGTTAATTGGCTCTGTTGCGGACATTGCTTCCCCCCCCCCCAAAAAAAAAAACCCAACCATTTGTCTGATTTGTGTTGTCCTTGATGTTGGAATTGCCTATTTGTGAAAAAAAATATTTTCCTGAGAAGCATTTGAACAGTATGGCAAAGCTGCAGATTTTTGTTGAAATCAGAAATTCCATGTTATCCCAAATTTGCATCCTTCCGAAGTTTGAACTATTCTGTTCTACTTGATGTTGATTTGATTTAGAGCTTGGGGCCACTGCCCGGTACTCAGTAAAATGAACAACATGCGATTTGTGCAGTCTAGGATTACCGACTTCCTGGTCAAATTTATTGAATTTCGTGTGAGCCTTAGAGTTGTGTACGATGGATTCATATACATGTACACGTATCTGAAATGTGCTGTAAAATTGTCATCTTCGTTTTCCCTGTCCCTTCCTCCCCCCCCCCCCCCCCCAAAAAAATTACATCTGTTTTGATAGCATCTGCATGTTTTTCTTAAATATTTATCAAAATAAATCATAATCAAAAATTTTTTTTAAATCTGGACATGATGTTCCTCTGCTACAATGTATGTTAAGTATTATCAATTGATATGGATCACAAGTTAAAAAAAAAAAAAGTTTTCAAGAAATTTGGTGGGAATTTTGTTTTTATCATTTTGTGAATTTTCGGCTTGTCGTTAACAAAGTTGTATGCATGTTGTTGTTTTGTGACAATTTGAGTAGTTCATCATTAGCAGATCTACCAAGTGTCGTGCCTCCGGCGCTTGTCGCACGCCTCGGAGTCAGTTCACATGCTCACATGCTGGGCAATTGAAATCACACACCTCACGCTAAATTGTTCTAAAAAATAAATTTGTGGGGCAACGGTAATTTTTGGTTTTGTAGGCATGCAACTTTTCCTCGGATCCGCTGATTTCCTCGTTTTTAGTTCTCATGAATGCCATTACAAATTGAAAAACACTGTACAGAGTCTTGTGTGGTTTGGAATTTTCTCATTTTTTCTAAATTCCTAGTTGCATGCCTGGTTTGGGGGTTAAGCATTTTAGCGACTTCGGTTCTGCCAAAAAGATTATAAACGCTGCACAGTGTTGTTCTGCATGAATGAATTGGTGGTTCAATCAAACATGTTTCTGGTTACGGCCACAAAAATAACCCCCAACACCATCGACCAAAAGAGACACCCTCATCCCAAGAGCCAGCCCAGCTTATATTACGATGGCCTTTGCCGCTCGCACTGTCACACTCCCAGCTTCTGTGTGATCTTGGCATCTCTGCAGTAGATATTGGTGTTTGTTTGTGAAAATGAAAAGTGATTGTGTTTATTTGCATGCTTCATGTAATATTGACAGATGTGACTATTTTTGCCCTGGTTGAAGAACCCACAATGACGAGACTATGGATTTATGTTAATGTACCGGTACATGTAATGCGCATTTGTTCAAATTGTGAAAAAAAGAAACATTGGTTAATAAGTTAAAATGTATCACTTACAAAGGCAATATTCATGTTGGTTAAAAATAGCATATCACAGACTAAAACTGTTTCTATCAATGTCTTTGTTTTTCTTCTTGTCAAAAGTTCCCTCTGCAACAACAGACTGTATCTTAGGTAAACTACACCTTCCATTTGTGTATTATCCATCCCAGCCTGCGTGTTGTCAAAACGAAACAGTTTCTGTCAAGTTTTCATTTCGCATGATGAATGGAGCATGGCTTAGGCGTGTACACATTTAATGCATCATCTGGCTGTGTGAGCAATGTGTGTTCACGTGAAACGCATTAGTGCTAATGGATTCTGATATTAGCCATTGATTTGTTGTTCGTTTACGTTGTGAGCGTGTGTGTTTGTGGTCAGATATTGTGACATGCGAGTTTTACAGACAAGAGAATTTCATTTATTTTTGCTTTGAATTGCATGCGTTGTGCAACCATACATGTTTTGTAATATTGCGAGAAGTATTTCATACAGATTCCTTTCATGCCATATTGAAATCAATTTCCAGTTTCCATGGCAACATACAATGTAATACACAGATTCTTTAATTTCTGCTTCAGTTGATTCCCAGTTGTATCACGAATTGTAATTTTTGTTTGATTTTTTTTTTACCAGCGTGAGACATCAGATACATCTGGTAGTTCTTACACTCATTCCCTGGCCATTGTGCTCATATTGTTAAACAGTCATTGACATTTTTACGGTCTTCGTTAATTTTTACATTGTGAATAGCCAGGGGCGGGTATGCGTGCTGTCAACAACGTACCCGATTCACGATACCTTTGTTCTGCCCAGAGAAACACATACTTTCAATGGAAGCAATTGTTACAAATTTGTGGATTTTATACATAAATTCAACCCTACCATTCACTGTCAAACATGTCAAATAATGACAGCTTTCAAACTCATGGAAAATATGAACGGACAATACATTGCACAGTAGCATAACAATTATAAAAGGCATTAGCATTGCACTAAGCATATGCAACATCAACAAAACCACAGTCAACAAAACAACTCACAAATATTGAGTCTGCCTCACAGACTTCCATGAATTGAGTGCATTTGAAGAAAAAAAATCATTTCATAATCATGTCAATTTGACTTACATTCATCTACACGTACACTGGGGTTTAGTGCCTACATGTACATTGTAGTTTATGCTTTTGATGTTTGTGCATGTTTATAGTGCTTGATAGTTTCTGTTTTAGTTTCAGCTGTTCAAACAGCTTGGGACAAAGGCTAGTCTCTTGTAGGCAGAGTTTTTTCATTTCCTGTATTTGGGATTATAATTACAGGATTGTTGCAGTTGATGTGCTCTTAAATTGTGCCGATTGTTTTAGATGTCTTGTAATTTTCAGCTGTGTTTTGACATGAATTTGCAGTCTGCATTTGAATTTGGGCGTTTTTGTGGTGTAAATCGAGGACACACACGTGCAACATCATCGATGAAACAAACTGAATCGAGGACTCCTCGGTTGGAAAACGTGCACAAAACCAATGAGAGCTGTTGTGAAAAAGTTCTAGTACAAACAAAGGAAATGGGAAGAGGAACAAAAGAAAGATTTACACCATAAACAAACGTGCGCGTACATGTAGGGTAGGGTGGAGAACGTTGCTTTGGGGGCGGAGTTAGGGTGGGTGATAGTGGGAAGGGGGGGGGGGCTGGGTCATTTACATCAGGTGAAGCTAGATTTGGAAACTCATCAATAACCAAACTATCAATTATACTTTGGCAAAGTTTAGCGCTTATTCATTTTGATGTTCTGGCTTTGAAATGTTAATGTTTAATTGGAAATTACTCACTATTTCCAAAGCATCAGTAAGGCCAAGTTTTCAGTAACTACTAACTCTATGAACATGAATTTCTTTTGGCAGATAATGTCTATTTTGAACTCATGTCTTTTACCATTGGAAAGATAATTAATGTATCATAATAACGTAATTCTTTTCCACGTACAAATGCAACACTATTTTCTATATCTGGCCTTGTCTTTACTGTCAAACAATTAATATTTCACATCAGTGCTGGAAACTCATTTCATATTGACTCTGTACCACTTGAGTACATATGGTGCCTGATTAATAATTAAAATTATGCTAACAGAAAGCTTCCAATTATAATAGAAATGAGAAGAGGTTTCTTGAAACTCCATGACCAATTTTTTAATTTCCAAACATCTTGTTTTTCAAATATGAAAGGATAGTGGTCACTGCATGGTTTAAATTCCATTCACAAGAAAGCAACATACAAGTGTTATATCCAATTAATATTTCCATTTAATTGCATTTTACCGGCATTTAAGCTGTCAACGAAGAATTTTCCATTTTCATAATTACAAAAATAACATTTGTGTGTGTGTGTGTGCAATTTGACAACCATTTACCGATCTTAGTCAGCAACACCAAGCTCAAAATTGCTTACTGCATACCGTCACACACGAGTCTACTTAGCATGTCTGTACTCTTAAGCACATATTTTTTGCTCATCAAGAAGGCATCCACGTCATTGGCTGTTAGGACAAATTCCATCACCTTAAGAAGTCTGCACCTTTCCATAAAGCTGGTTGTTACTGCAGCTATGAGTAGTCACACAATGATGTTAGCGTTCCATGGACATGCTCGTATTTTCAGTGGTACTGATTTTCAGTGCATCATGAGCTTTTGCCAAACTTTCATGTCTTAGACTTAACAGAAAATCATCTTGTTATCAGAGAACTTTGATTGGGTCTACACCCTATTCAACATCACAACTCCTTGATAAGTCTAAGATAGCCACAACTCCTCTGATAAGTTCGGCAGAACTCTTTTCAAGGTATTGTATTTGCATGCACACTCACAGCTTTGACGCAATAATTTGTGTATGAAATCATGGTGTGACATGTGACCGTAACATGTTAAATCTTGCTGATGATTGTCGCATGATGTGCAGTGCATGTTTGCTTTCTGTCGTCAACTGTATTTTTTGTATTGGCTGCCAATACAAGTAATCTTTTTTACTCAACGTTGGCTTAAAATCACAGATAGAGTTAACATTAAATCTTTGACAATCATCTTGTGATTGAATTAGAGTGGGCCACAATCCTCTGATTGTCATCCTAAGGGGAGACAGTCTCTCTTCCTGCAGATGTGTGAACACATTTTTTATTGTTTAATTTGTTTATTGAATTGATTTGATTTGATTTACACTATTTAATCAAAATATCCCCATCGCTTGCGGGGTCCGCTTATAAGTCCGACGCCTCATAGGTCCGACGCCGCATAAGTCCGAAATTTTTGACTAATGAGGTGTCGGACTTATGAGGGGTCGGACTTATGAGGTGTCGGACTTATGAGGCATACAATTTATTATTCCGCCTCATAGCTCCTAAGCCGCATAAGTCTGACGCCTCATAGCTCCGACGCCTCATAAAGTCCGAAACAGCATTTGTCCATTGTCGAACTTATGAAGAGTCGGGCTTATGAGGCATCAGACCTATGAGGCGGAATTTATGCCTCATAGTCCGATGCCTCATAAATCCAAAATTTTGGACCTATAAGGTGTCAGACCTATGAGGCGTCGGACTTATAATACGGCCCCTCGCTTGCTACCAAGGAATCGTTCTCCTATTGGTTAACACGTGCCACATTTGCCTGCGGTTTGTAAGATTTGTTTATCCCAAATTGGTTATCGTCATATTTTCTTTCCATTATTAGCCATGTTTGTGCATGACAAGTTGTTGTTTGTCTTTCATTTCCATGCAGTCCCGTCAGAAGAATCTCATCCAAGGAGTTTGCAAAGTGAGTATAAAAAAAAAAGGAAGGGAAATTTTCAGTCTAACGTCAGTCTGACAAAGTTTATAGTTTATAATGCTGAAGCTATTTTTAATTGAAAGTTCCTTCTGGTGCAAAAAGTGTGAAAGTTGGTTTTGAATTGAAGGTCCTTAAAGGGACACTACGTCCTGGAAATTTTGCATCAATGAGGACGACCAAACACAACACAAAAACTAAGATGGCGATCACCATGTCGCACACGCAAAATGGCATTGATTCGCATGACACCAACTGTTAAAAACGTGTAAGAAAATCAAATTTTGTACCGCAAGAAACTGTTCAAAATTACCCCCAAAAAATTATATCAGTAGAATCAAAAGAAGCTTGCTGTAGGTTCAAAAAGTCATTTTGGAATGATAAAAAAATTACCCTTGACTCTGATTTGATCAAAACTAAAGAGGGGCCCTTTACTACACAATCGCCCTTCTACAAAAAAGTCCGGATTTTGAAAAGGTTGATTTCATGGATTCATTTAGAAATACACAAGAATGCATGTAGGTTGTAAATTATTATGAACAATGTTATCAACCTGGCTTGACATCATTAAGGATTTATTTTATCCTCACCTGATTATGTCACTGGCAGATACTCAGGAGACCTTTGCACCCTCTAACATATGGCGTGGAAATACATCTGCCACTCTGCAAACATTCATAGACAAATTTACCTCAAAACTGCCAGACATATTTCATCATTTTCACATATTCTTTCATTTGGTAGTACAATACCACATTCTGTGAATGTATTAATCAGAAATCTATTAAAATGGTGAATTAGGTCAATAACATGTACATGTACATGTAAGTGTGTCGTAAATCAAGGTAAACATGGTATAGACATAATCATTTCTTATTTTTGAGAAAAATGCTGTTTTAAGGGTATGAAACTGCTATAGAAAATATACCAATCAAGCCTTTTTTCAAAGGCCTGTTTTGTTAATCGAATGTCTGATAAAGAAAATGTTTACATAAAAACCCAATGCGTCATTTCATCAAATTTCCAGTTCCGTTAAAATAAATGTTACATCCAACATATTTTAGTCTGCCTGACACTAAATCTTCCTTGCTTCAGTACCCCACAATTCAGAATTCAAGATGTTAAAATACTTTTTGAATTCAGGTTTACATGTGCTGAAACATGGCTGAAACCCTTATAGTCGAACTTGACCCTTTTTGGCATTTTGTACATGTAGTAACTGTCGACTCCCTTGCTGTGTAAACAAACATGTGCTATCAATTAATAATCAACAAATTCCTTTGTCAAGTTGAACCCTGGGCGCTGAGTCATATTGATGCCTATGAAGAATCTTTTATAAACCAAGTTTCAAAATGGGCCGCACACAAGAATTGACCTTACATGTAGCTTTGTGTAGCCTGCTCTTGAGAGTTACAACTGAAAGCCTTCTTGCTAATATGGCTCATGTGGCTTATAATATTTTCAAATTAATGGGTACAAAGAAGAAGGTTCCATCTGCAAACAAGAAAATCACCTGAGCATGGGCATAGTGGGGCTGTGGTACTCTGCCATTTTGCAATCAGTTGTGATCGGTGCTGTTACTGCCATAATGGCATTGTTCATCCATGTCCAAGTCCATAATTCTTCACTCAACAATTTTGGCAGTAGAATCAAGCATTAATTCTCATACCCCTCCGTGGATCTTTCCTTCCTTGGACTCCTTCCCCCTTCCTTCCCTCCCCACCCTTGCCCCCTGCCTCACCCCACATTGTCCCATCCCACCACAAGCATATCAAGTAAGACAAAAATACCACACTGATCTGGAAGTTATTATCCCTCATTGTTCTCCAGTTTTGTACAGACTATTTCCAGTCCTGTAGTTCATTCAATAAAGGGGGCAGACATGTCAATCGTTTGTCAAGATACAAACATGAAATTTGTTCTTCCTGCCTGAAGAATAGTCATAAAATTTTATTTTAACAATTTAAGAGCTTGGAAGTTAATAACAATAACGACAATGAAAGTCCAAGATTATGTCTGACTGGGAAAAATGTTGCAGATCCCAGAAAATACATGTGTAAATCAAGAGAAAAAGATATTAAAGCTTAACAAAGAAAAATAAATTAACACATCAGAAATTGCTTCAATGAAAGAGTATAATTGTCTGATTTGAATAAACAGTTTGAAAATAGCTGATGATAATGAAAGAAATCAACATTAAATCTGAAAATTGAGAGTATCTTCAGATTGTGTGTATATATGCAAAGATTAGAAACAGAACAAGAGAGTTGTGTACGTGTTGCTGTCTCCCTTGATAATTTGTATCCTTGCGCATTACATGATCAATTTGCACTCTTTTCTGTTGACAGCCATTTGTACAGGTCATCATCGTCCAACAACCTGCCCCACAAAGGTGCTATAGACGACACGTACGGTGAATATGCCGCGTCGGACACAGATGTCATGGAACTCAATGACAAGGTATCGGGCTTTGTTCTTCTGCTTATAATCAGATGTGGTAATTTATAGCCAAGAAAGACCATGTTCAAATCTGGTACTTCGTCACTTTTTGTGGCTAGGCTTGTTTTTTTTTACCTCGACCAACTATTGTGTATGGGCTCTGTGCCAACATAATGAATGTTTTAGGGGAGACCACTGGGAGAGATATTTGAATGCACTGCCAATGGCGCCTAACGCTCATGCGGAGATACTGTAGCCTTTGTGCATATTCAGAATGAAACTGAGTCGTGTACGCTCAGCGCTAAACTTGCAAACCAGTACACGCAAGCGGTGTGTCCCAGCCACAGGACTATCGAAAGTGGTAAAAAAAATAGCACCCTGTCTTGTTTGCACGCAGAGCCAATAAAATTGACAGAATTGTTCTAATGGGCAATTACACGGTTACTCACGTTACTTGAGTGAGTAAGGCGAGGCGTCATAAATAAATTAACCGTTCGAACGCGTGCGCACGCTAGGAACGGGGCCTTTTGTTACATCTACCTCCCGTTTGCACGCGTGCTCACGGCATCCCGTTCCGAACGCGTTCTTATACAACAAAAGGCCAGTCACGGTCTGTGCACACACAAAGAGCTCATCGGCACTAAAAGTATCCGACAAACTTTCTCGTCGCTACAGGCTAGCCCATACAGTACAGGGGGGACGTATAAAAATACGGGCACCTTGAACGGGGAAAGCAGTCCTTTGCAATATTTTTTTAACCCTTCCAATCTCCGCATTTTTAATATAACCTAGACCATACATATTTTTTCGCCCCGCCCAGCGGCAGACAACGATATTTAAGGATAAAAAGGCATAAATCTTATCAAACTCCTCATACCTGCTCGTGCTGTCTAAACTCTGAAATGTTTTTTTTTATTTAATGCTTGCTCCGATATCGGGTTTTCAAATTCCAAATCTGATTTAAATTCCAAACCAAAACGGATTTTTTTTTCTGTACAAGTATATACACATAGTTGTTCTTCGCATCTTTGTTGTGCTGCTCCCGTTCTCGCACGCAAAGGAACGGTTGATTAACATAACAATACCCCCTCAGTGAAGCTTGCCCAAGCACAATCTACGGAACGCGTTCTAAAAGCCGTTCGGCACGGGAAGGAACGGGGGCCATTCAGAACGGGAAGGAACGCGTGCGCACGCGTGCGAACGGTTAATTTATTTATGACGCCTCGCCTAACCGATTTTGTGCGTCTTGTTTATCATACATAACACATTTTTCTGGATGTCATCTTTGGTGCTTAGGTAGGTCTAGGTCTACTCTATCTACCATGGGGATAACAGTTATTAAACCTTTTCAGTAAGGTAATTACAGCCCAAGGAAACTCAAAAGTACATCAAAAATGTAACGTGAGTAACCGTGGAATTGCCCTAATGATCAAATTGTTTTCACCCTCTTTTGATAGGTGCTAGAATTGGAAACACAAGTCACGGTGTTGGAACAGGACCAGGCGTCACGGGCAGGACACCAGGGAAAACTCAAAAGCGACAAAATCATGCTCATGCATCAGTAAGTCCCGACAACATATCCTCACAAAGTAGTCAAATCAATCAATCATCATTATTTGTATCGAAAGCTTCTACAGATGGAAGAATCCACTGTTGCATGTAGTAGTTTTTTCCAGAGATTATTTTCTGTTGTTTCCACCCTCCAGTTGGTTGTAGAAGCATCCATATAAATCCTCCCAGATGCTTCAAAATCCTCCTGATGGTTTGTGAGGATATTTTGTAGGGTAGAACTAGCAGCAAAATGTAGCATGTGGTACATGTAACTTGAGGTTTACTGTGAGGTTTCACAAGGTTTAAGGAGGTTTTACGGCGCACCTCGAGGTTCATCCTCGAGTAAGCGCTTGTTGAATTTTGCATTCCTCCCTTACACTGGCCTTGATCTCTCTTAAAACTTCAAAGTATAAAAGAATGTGCCATTGGATTCCTAAATCCAGTGGTGGATAATGGAGGAATGATTCCTGACCCAATACCCAGGTGGTTATGGCTTAAGAAAGCAATCTGGTCTACATCGTGAGTCAAAAAAAGCAAAACCCAAATGTCGGGACTATCGTTTTAGTGAAGTTCTGCATGTAGCACTTTCAAAATCTAGGATATGAAAGCCCAATTCATAAGCTTTCTTTTAGTACAAGAATCATTCAAATCACTCGTGTGCTTTTCAAGTTACGGAATTTTAAACACAACCACCATTTTAAAGTTCTGTCCACGGATCACAAACAAGGTGTGCGTTCTTTTAGCAAAAACGAAAACAATTCACACACATCCCTATGAGATTTGTTATCGTTTTGCTGAAAGAACACTTACCTTCTTGTGATCCTTGGACAGAACTTTAAAACGGTGGTTGTGTTTAAAATACCGCAACTTGAAAAGTACGTAATTGATTTGAATGTTTCTTTTTCTAAAAGAAAGCTTATGAGTTGGGCTTTCATATCCTAGATTTTCAAAATGCTACAAGCAGAACTTCACTAAAACAATGGTCCCGACATTTGGGTTTCGTTATTTTTGACTCACCCTGTAGTAGACATGATCATCATGGAGTCCAACCCTCGAGTTCAAGGACAGACAGACTACAAACAGATGGATGGAATTGCAACATGTAGTGGGTCAAAAGTCAAGTGTGGCCATATATTAACAATACACTTGACCAGACAGTTTTCATTCTGCAGTGACAAGTCTAATCTTTCAGTGCAAGCGCCCATATACATGTACACACAATCATAAACCAGTAACAATAAGCTAGCCAGGGGCTGGAGTGGGAGTTAAGTACACAGTGTTCTTTCCACCTGTCATAAATGCTTGCAGGTGGCTTCAGAGATGTCAAAGAACAATTATTAACAAGGGGGAAAAGAGTGTACATGCTAATTGTGTGTCCAATTATATAGCTAGGCCTAGAAGCCAAAAATACTAAGAACATGTAACATATGCCATTCATAAGATGGAGTTTACATGTACATCGAGTTGATGTAAATTCAATATTGGGGTTTGCCCTTCACCGACGTATTTTATAAACACTGTGTACTCAGTGTTGTCTCAAGTGATTGTGAGAAAAAATCACTCGGGTGGGACTCGAACCCACAACCTGCTTGCTACTGCAGACGTCTTACCACTCGACCAGTGAGCTTTCCGGGGTCGGCTATTTAAATCTGATAAAGCAGCAGGTGTCAAAACAAAAATGGATGGATAATGTGGGCCTCTGCATTTGTTTAATGCCTAGTTTGACAGCAAAAACCCTTGCAAGCATTTGACACATTGAAATTTGCTCCTTCTTGTGGAAAGTACAGTTTTTTGGTACTCATACTTGTACTCATTGGAAAAATTGCTTGTACTCGTACACATACTCATGACAAAGTACTCAGATCATACTTGTACTCATGACAAAGTACTTGTACTCTTGGCAAAGTACTAGTTCGTACTCACACATGTACTCATGGCAAAGTACGGGTACTCGTACTCGTACTCATGGCAAAGTACTCATACTCGTACTCATTGGAAAAATTGCTTGTACTCGTACTCATGACAAAGTACTCAGATCATACTTGTTCTCATGACAAAGTACTTGTTCTCATATTCTTGGCAAAGTACTAGTTCGTACTCACACATGTACTCATGGCAAAGTACCGGTACTCGTACTCGTACTCATGGCAAAGTACTTATACTCACACTCGTACTCATGGCAAAGTACTCATACTCACACTCGTACTCGTGGCAAAGTACTCATACTCACACTCGTACTCGTGGCAAAGTACTCATACTCACACTCGTACTCGTGGCAAAGTACTCATACTCACACTCGTACTCGTGGCAAAGTACTCATACTCACACTCGTACTCGTGGCAAAGTACCGGTACTCGTACTCGTGCTCATGGCAAAGTACTTATACTCACACTCGTACTCATGGCAAAGTACTCATACTCACACTCGTACTCATGGCAAAGTACTCATACTCACACTCGTACTCATGAAAATGTATTGGACTACAACACTGACGTGTGTACATGAACTTGTGTGGTGTCTGTCAGGCAGGCAGTATTCAGATACCTGTGTTAATTAGTCATATTGGATTATTTGTCTTTATCATCACAGAGTCCAGAGCCTAGAGGAACAAATCCGGGAAGCAGAGATGAGGCATCAAGAGCGAGAAGATGAACAAATCAAGAGACATAAAGACACCATGGTAAGAAATCCAACCACTTCAGTTGGGTCCCATTTCAAATCTGGTCACATTTCAGTCGTCCGTGTTGAATCTTAAGTCACCCAAGCTGTGTCTTATTTATTCTGACATCTGAAATATTTGCAGTCACTTTTTGGTTGGAATTGATAATGTTTTGTCGTTGAAGTCAGGATCCCCTCCCACCATAATTTTTTACTGATTTCCCCCACAAACCATAATTTTTTACTGAAATCTCCCACAAACATGATGGCTCACTCTGAGAGAGCAGGCTGACATTAAACATTGTATTGGCTCCGTTCATAAACAAGAGAGGGCGCTTTTCAACCACTTTGAGATCCCAGTGGAAAGGACACAACGTCTGTGCATGCTGGTCCGCATGCTTGTAGAGCGAGGGACAAACAACCAATTTTATTTTGAATGTGCACAAATCCATAGTGACTTAGCGTGAGCGTCAAACGCAGGCGCCATTGACAATGCGTTGGAATGCCCCACCCGGTGATCTCCCCCAACTCTCCTTTTCTTACCATTGAGGGGGTACTTTGTGCACTGATCCTATAACATGTCGTCCTATTTTCTTAGATCGAGAAGATGAACGAATCCAGAGACATAAAAACTATTTTCTTAGAGCAGTCAACACAATAAACGAGTTTGGTATTCCAACTGCGCATGCGCACATCAAGATTTGCCGATTTTTCTTTCGGGATAAAAATGTCATCGTATGCGTGCAGAAGCATAGTGGGATACCAGTAAAGTTGAAGAGATCATCATGTTCTGAAGTATAACATTTTGCTAAAAACCTTTGGACAGCGAAGTGTTTCTAGGTGTCTTGTGTGTCAAAACTTGTGTGCGAACGAAAGTTCCATTTTTTTTCCAATTGCACAAAAAATTTCACAGAATGCAGATTTGGTTATCATGTCCCCCATGGCCTTGTGTGCATTTATCTGCCGCGGATTATCCCGAAAAGAAGAAAAAAATCGTCGAATCTTGCTGTGCACTATACTCTTTTGGAATACCGATATTGTGCAATGTCACCAGCATTCACTAGCAGTCGTCATTCAAGTCCATCAATTTTACCCTTGCTTCTTTCTTATTTTTCTCTCTTTTTATCTCCTCAGACTAAGAAAGAAAAAGAGATGGAGGAACAGATAGAGTTCTTAACAAACAGGTCAGCTACAATCTTTCTTTTTTTCTTTGTAAGATGGCAATGATAACTAGAGGTCAGCTATGACTCATTTCGTCAAGCCTGCAGCTGATTTCTTGTAGGATTTACGCAACAAATTTGTTGCGCTGCTGTGCAGTACATTCATGATAGATTTTTAAAAAACTCAGTGTGGCTGTGCAACATTTTAAAAATGTTGCGCAGCGTGAAATGTTGCACAGTGTGAAATGTTGCGTAATTTATGCAATAAAATGTGGCACAAGTGGAGTTTGGCCATTGCGTACAGTTTGGTGAAATCGGGGAACAAATTTAGGGTTTTTTAACCCAAGTGCAAATAAAATAGCAGTTTACACATGTGTCACATTTTATTTATTAATTTTACATTGGCTGATATCATATTTTCAAAATGAGTTTCCATTTTTCTTAAAATTATCACCAGTTAATATGAAATGCTATCGACATTTGGGGTATGAATTATATTAATTTTTGATAATTATTATTTTTTGTTTGTGCCAACAGAATAGCAGTCCTTGAAGACGAGAAGAACCAGCATGTGACAGAAACGTCGCGATTAAAGACACAAATAGAACACCTTAAACAGGTACTTTAATAAATCTGATCAGGCAGAATGCTTCCTTATTTTCCCCAAAATGTCTACCACATTGGAACCAAATAAGCTTATCGGTCAGTGGGGGTAGCGAGCTTGGCCTGTGTGGAAGTTGTGCAAAGAGCTTCTACTTATTCTGCAGCCAGAGATGAAAAAAGGCCAAGATTTGGAAAATGGCCATGATTGCCATGGTGAAATAGTCAGATCCCTCATCTAACCCTTCTGCCCCTTTTCTTGTAGGAGAACAGCAGGCTAGAAGCCCAGGTGCTAGACTTGGACAATAAGTGGCTGGCTCTGTCCATGGAGTACCAACAGAAGGAAGACGGTCACAGACGAGAACGAACGGAAATGAAAGAAACTCTGAAAGCCAATAATGTGGTAAGTCACTTGAAATTGTACATGTAAATTCGCTGTAACTTTCCCACATTTATTGCACTCTTTACGTTTTTGCAACATGACTTCCTTAAATCCGCCCAAACCAGCAATTCTGCAGGATCCTTCTTGCACATTCTTTCTGTGCTGGGTTTCAAGGGATATCCATGCTTATGTAAAGTAAGATTGAGTGGACATAGCCTTCCTTAGTCATGCAAAATCCTCCAAAAACTCTGGTCAATTTTGAAGGATAAGAGTTTAACCAGTTCGCGCCGGAGGCTGTGTATACACTTCAAAACTTTTGCGGTATTCGGAACAGATGACAGCTACACGCAGGGAGAGAGGCCGGAAATATCTATCTGTCAGTGACCCGCTCGCAGCGAGCGAGGCCGGAAATATGAGTGTGCTGCCCGAGGGTGATGGCTTCAACCCGCCTGGCTTGAGGTCGAATGAAAAGTAATCCCGCGCCTCGTTCCGTTCTTGTCAAAATAATCCCGGCGTGAACTGGTTAATACACTAAAAAGCCTGGAATCACAGATTTGTCAACGTTACTCTCCTTCGCTTATCAGGAGTCATGAATTTTTGTTGTTGGTCAAGACAATTTACTTGATGGCCTCTCTCCACCCGAGATTATAAATGGGTACTTATGAGGGTAGAAAACAGATTGTACTGATCTTGAACTGCATGAATACTGATCTAATTCCGCGATAAACAGGCTTAAAAAAGTGAGTATAAAATGCTATATTAGCTCTACATTATTATTAATATTTTTTGTCTGAAAATTTCCAGCTTGTGGAAGATTTATCTCGGGAGCTTGAGGAACTGAGACGAGAGAATCTTGAGCAGCGTGAGTATGGCGCTCGCCTGATGAGAAGCCCCAGCATCTCAGACCTGCCCAGTCGATACTCGGAACTCAATGAGGAGTTACAGAGACTCAAGAAGGTAAAAACTTCAATATTAGTTTGTTGGTCTCTGTGTCTGTTTGTGTGTCATGTTGTTATACGTCCCTCTGTGAGTATGTCGCTCACCTCCTGAGAAGCCCCAGCATCTCAGTCCTGCCCAGTTGATACTCGGAACTCAGTGATGAGTTACAGAGACTTAAGAAGGTCAAAACTTCAAGATTGGGTTTGTCGGTCTCTGTGTCTGTTCGTGTGTCATTCTGTTATATGTCCCTCTGCGAGCTTTGCGACCGCTTGATTAGAAGCCCTAGCATCTCAGACCTGCCCAGTCGATTACTCAGACACGGTGGTGAGTTACAGAGACTCGAGAAGGTAAAGACTTCAAGATTAGCTCTTTGGTCTCAATGTCTGTGTGAGTGCCATTTAATTATGCCTCACAGGCTATACCAAGTTTCGTTTGGAAATTTTCTGAGTTATTACAGCAGTTGTGTAGTGCAGTGGCTGTCTGTTTTCATTTCCAATTATTGGACCTTTTGGTCTTTACTTCACCAGGAAAACGCCAACTTACGAGAGAGCAATGAAGAGATGAGTGCCCAGATGCTGAATGACGGCTTCCATATCGGCCACAGCCTGCTACACAGGGGGACCACCAGGTCTGAATCCTTCGCATCAGAGCTGGAGACATCATCCAAAGATGATGTAAGTCTTGAAACCAGAGTTCGCTGCCCTTTTCCCCTTTTCACCTTGGTAACATTGCCAATATTTATATCTCGAGTCCATTCTGGGTGATCTCCGGTGTTGTTGTTGAGTACATTTCTGTGACTTTGAGTACTTTGACATGAGTACGAGTAATTTGTCATGTGTATGAGTACGATTACAAAGCAAATTTTTGTCCATTGGTGCGAGTATGAGTACGAGTACCGAAAAGTGTACCCAAGTACCAGTGTGAGTACAAGTATTACGAGTGCTTTTTACAAGTAGGAGCAAATTTCAATGTGTCACGTGTTCTCAAAGGCTTTCTGCTGTCAAGCTAGGCATTAGACAAATGCAGAAGCCTCCCGAGCAGTAGAAAACTGGTTTTTGAGTCAGTGTTGTAGTCGAGTCCATCACAAGTCCCTGCAAGTCCATCACAAGTCCTTCACAAGTCCATCATAAAGCCTTCAGTCTCTGAAGGACTATTACAAAAGCATTCCTTTGTTATTGTTCATCCCGTTTCTTGTGACTGGAATTATGAAAGGACTTGTGACTGGACTTGTGATGGACTCGACTACAACACTGTTACGAGTATGAGTGACAGTGTTCTCCAACCTGTAAAAATAACCCGGTGCCCCGCCATGCTTTCTGAGACACCTGCCAAGCTTCATAAGTTGCGGCCATGCTTTAAAAATTAAATGAAAAAAATAATAAAAAAGACAAACAAGTGGGACTACCCTTACCCTCCAGGGTATATTTTGGCCAGAAACTCTGCCAAAAGCAGTAACATGCAACACTTGTCAGTGACAAGCCTGCCCATTGTAGCAATCCATCAGGTCAAAAGTCTCAAGGCCAAACTGCCTCAGAGTCCCTGGTCACTGATGTATTAAAAAAAGATGATGCTGAACCACTATTGTACTTTACTGTATTAGAAATGGCCTAGAAGCCGTTACCCATACATAAATTACATGTTCATCTGCAAATAGCGCCCCTAGCATAAAGAAATGTATGACTGCAAACAGCGCCCTAACATACATGTGTAGCGCCCCCCTCCCTTCCGCTTTTTGAAGGCGCACCAACCTTTAACTTTTTTAAGTTGGAGAACACTGAGTGGAGGTAATTTTTTTTTGCAAGTATGAGTACTAGTACAAGTATGAATACTACAACACCGGTGTCCTCACATAAATTCCATTTTTTTCCTAACACTCACTGATGCACTGAGAAAAAAAACCCAAATCTTTGCCGTTTTCATCTTGTGTTTACTTGTGACCTGACTAGACCGACCTTTGTTGACTTGTGATTTGACTTGTGATCGATTGGTGATTAGTTTTGATTGACTAAACTACAACTCTCATATTTAAATAGTTGTAGTAAAATAAGAGGAAAAGAAAGCACCTGACAATAAATCTTCCTTTTCCTTCAGATCATGCAAGCCTTACGTGAGGAGGAGCAACTCAATCGAGACCTGCGGGAGTACATCGGCCGCATCCTTGCCAGAATCTTAGACAGTAACCCGGGACTCTTGGAGATCAGACCCAAGCGGCACGGCAGCATGGCGTCGCTTATGAGCGTGGATCCAAACACGTGACGATAGGTCCCTCAAAGAAGACAGAAATCTTATTTTTCATATCAGAATTTCTATCTAGGTTTTGCATAGTGCCAGGTTTTCTCTTTGTGGGTAGTGTCAGTGTGGGTGAATGGCGAAAAAAACATGAAGTAAACTCCATTCACTGTAATATTCTGGACCAATAAATCGGGAACAGCATTCTAATGTGATGAAATGTTTTGGAAGGAAAAACAATCTTGTGGGTTTTGTTACAAGCATACCCGCCAGTTTTAGCTCCGGTTTATGGAGACCGCAATCAGTGAGCACAGCAAAAAAAACAAATATCCTTTGCGTAGCACAAATGTCCATACGCACACAAGCTTGAGCATATCTTGGCCATGCAAATGCCACTATGTTTCTACTCGACTTAATGTAATATTTTTGCTCTAAATAGTGAAGCAGCTGAGTGAAGTTGGCCCTTTTTCGGAAAAACAATCGGGAAGAAATGTTCTGTAAAAGTTAGTATTGTCAACAGATCATGCACAAACTTGTTCAATGCCAAATTAAATAGCGGTTACAGATTTTTTTCCCTGGAAAAAGCCGTAACTTTGAAACAGTTTGAAAATAAAGGGAATGCTACACTCACACAGGATTAAACTGGTTTAGGCATGGTGCTTTTTGAGTACCTGTAGGCAAAATCAAACCATGTACTTCTTTAATCATCAAAACTTACTATTTTTGGTTACTAAGGATGACGTCAAATTCTGTTTAAACAAAATAGGTTTGGTTTGAATCCTACTCTTGTATTTTTCACACAGTCTCTTTGGTGTGTGGAGTACACAGTGTTAACACTGAAAATTCCTAATTTTTGGGGGATCAAAACAGTTACTATTGTACGACTTTGTTATCCACAGTACAAAAATTATGATAATTTGTACTGTTTTAAGTATGCAAATTACATGGAGGATTTCTAGTCGCATTATAACACTTCCAGGAAAGATTCCTCTGCTTAGACAATGTGTTATGAACATCAGGCTTTCAAAACAAATCACATGATTTGATTCAAGTGTGTAAAGTATTTTTATATGAAATACAGAGCTTTATAAATGAAATTGTTGATAAAGAAAATTGACAAGATATAGATTTGAAATATTAATTTTTGAACAAACATGCTATGAGCTGGACAAAATTTTGGGTTATTTTAATGGAGTACTCCTTGTTAAAAAAAACAGTTAACCATTTCTCTTTGGATGACGTGTATGCATACAAAGGTTTTGCGGTATTCGGATTAGATGACGGATAAACACGCAACAAACGAGGCCGGAAATATCTGTTTGCAACCCGCTCGCAGCAAGCGAGGCCGGAAATATCAGGGTGTGCTACCCGCAGATGACGGCCTGAATCCGTCTGGCATTGAGGTTCGTGAAAAACAATCCCGCGCCAGGGTCCGGTCAATGTCAAAATAATCCCAGCACGAACTGGTTAATCGGGTGTTTGTATTGCAGTACTGTCCTCCTAGTACTAAATAGAGGGTTTGCATGTGTCTCCATGTTGGAGGTTCCTACATCAACATCCCTGACATCAGGGGCCCTCAACATGGCCGCCGAATGTGCAAATACAATTGAATAGTAAAATCTTTTTCACCAGTTTTTTATCTGCTTGACAATTTTTCAAATTCGTGTAGATGACGATAAACAATTGTTTGTCTGATAGCACCAATCTTTCAACATCTCACTTTTTCCATATTGACAAAATTTGAAATTTTGAAAGTTTAAGATAATAAAAATTTAAAAAAGGTAAAACACAACCAAAAAAAACCAAATTCTTTTATTGTTTTTAGTATTGGTTCATTAGTAATGGCCACCCAATCAGACAAACCAAAGGTTAATCCTGAAAGCCGTTTTAGTTGTATTTTAGGTTTTTTATTCTGCGATTAGTAATTTTTTTTTATTATTCATGGTACTCTTGACAAAGGTACATATTTGTAAAACTTTTTTATTGGAATTGATATTGTTATTTGAAAATCATGAAAAACAAATTATAGGAAGCCATATCATTGCACAATTATCGACGTTTTAATAGTGAAATGTATTTCCACCACATATCTAAATTTCAACATAATTCATTTTAAGCTGACGGTTTTAACAGAATATTGTACTGGACATGTACAATTCCAGTGCAGTGAATTCAGTCTTGAAAATGTTATTAACAAACTTTAGGTGTGTCATATATAGAGTTCAGTTTTTCATTATATTTTTCTTTGTGTAATATGATGTTTCAGAGTGGCATTTGGAGAGCGTAAAGAATTAACAAATTGAAAGGAAGTTTGAAAAATAATACGAATTTGAAAAAAAAGTTTATTTGAAACTAGATACATTCAAAGGTTTGGTTCCTGACTTTTGGAATAAGCCTGAATTTTACTTTTCTCAACATTAAAGAGATTGACAATCATGAATATCAGTTTAAAAAAAAGATCGTATTTTCATATTTAAAAGGGATTGTTTAAGGAACCTATATGCAAGAAAGTTTAAAATAAGTTAAATGGAGTTCCACAAGAACTTAAATGCATGTCGGATGCGAGAAGTATAGTTATATGTGCTTCACGGCTTGTATTCCCATGAAAAAGTTTCTTTTTTTATTGGTAGCTCATGAATTACAACTAAATAATTACATCTGTTACAAAATGTACCTTGCAGCAACATTTCTCAAGATATCTTGCATGAACTCGCAATATCAAAACCATAAACTACATGTACTAGAAAATAGTTGGTTTAACCCAATCGTCCCTGTACCGCCCAAAACCGCCCAGTACTGTATGATTATCTGCAGTCATCAAAGGATAAATATAATGTAACACAATGTAGTACATATACAGCTGGTGCTGTAAACACATGAGATAACATGGAGTATTGTTCTTTTCTTGTCTCTTTAGAACCTTTTTCAATGACAGTGACCAAAATTTACACACGTTTGCAAGCGCTTCTTTCAAAATCGTGGATTTTTTTTTTAGATCTGGTGCAAGATTAGCTTATGCTTTGTGTGCTTTTTTTTTTGTTAATTTGCTTGATACTTGCCTGATTTTTTTCTGAAGCGTGTGTGTGTGTTAGCTGTAAATGAAAATGTTGAGTTATGTAGGCAATTATTTAGATGTGTTCAAATTGTACAGTTTGCTCAATGGAAAGTGTAATATTTTTAGAAGTTTTTTTCTGTTATTTTCTTTGATTCAAATTTTTACATTGATGCTTCTGTGAGCTTAAAAATATTATTTTTAGCTGTAGAAACAAAGAAGCCTTCCATTAATTCGCATACTACAGAAATGACTACTTTCCAACTGAAAGTAATTTATGAACAATTGCGGTTACAAATGTACGTATTTTCTTAACATTGGCAGATCTTGGCTTTTTGAAACACTTGCTTAATCATAAGCCTAATTAGTTAAGCAAAAAAGTAGATTATCTGGGCATACTTGGCAGATTTGGTTATATAAACATTCCCATAAACTCCAGTTATTAAAAAAAAATTGACAATCAAATTTGTATCAACTTGGTGATATGAATGTAAACAAAGTTCTCCGTCGTCTTATTCACATTCCAATCCTTTTAAATTCTTGAGCAAGGATTTGTAGTCGGCTCAAACTGTTTGTAAACTTTCTAAAATAAAGCATTTAAGCATATTTTGTTTTGTCATTCCATTTCATACAAATGGCTTAATTATTATTCGAATGCACACATTTGTCCCATTTATGTACGGATAGAGGGCTGACCCCTGTTGAAATTCGAGTTATTAAGTGAAAATGTTACATATTCCTAAAAAAAATTGCAAAAGAGTTTCTCAATTGTAAACGCGCACACTCATGTTCAAAACTTAACTACATACTGATATAAACAGCATGGCACAGGCTAATTTCTATTTCATTCCAACAGAGGCCGTCCTCGTTCTTTACTTTCCAACGTAAATCCATCGTGTGATGTAATTATTATCGGAAATAATTATGTACGTGCCTTTATATTGTCTGATATTTATCTGTGGATGTCAATTGTACAAATGTAGTTATGCCTGTACGAAGATTTATATGCAAGGCAATCGTTGTAAATAAGGTCTGCGGTTCTTACGACTTTTGAGATGAAATTCTAGCGGGGCTTTGAAAATCTGTGAAAACGAAGAGCACGCATAGTGCGAGAATGAGAGAATAAAGTACGAACAAAGAATTTTAAAAGTGAACTATCTATTTGTCTAGGACTTGTTTCTTTGATGTGATATAGCATTAGCCGACTGGCACCATGAATAGTAAAGATGGCGCTTTGTCTAAACTCAAGAGAGCTCATGTGGGAGGGGCATATCGACAATGCAGGGGGGGGGGTTCCATCACAGTTACCTCCCATTCTCCCTATTTAGTATGTATATTTCGAATGTTTTAGGAAAAGTTGTGCACGGTGTTGATGCACCACGCAAGAGTCCGGCTGAAGTAGCTGACCAAAAATGGTGGGGCAAGCAAGCTTCATGCCAATTACAATTTTTGACACAGTAAAGTTTGACACGCAGTTCAGAAAAGTTAGGGGATTGCATCTCTTGTAGTTTTGCACTGTATTTCGGGAGTGTGGCCTAGTTGTTTGGGTTTGTGATCATCTGAGGATCGGGAGTTCGAATCCAGCTCAGTGTGTTGTGTCCTTGGGTAAGCAATTGCATCCACCCTTCCCTAATATTCTTTCTTTCCAACCAGAATTAAGAATTGGACGCATTAGCCTTTTTTTATAGACATGTTGGAAACTACAATAGGGCGCTGTTTTGTAATATGTCTTGACCCAAATTTACCCAAACCATACCGATCAGTCCACCATAAATCAAACAAGGCTCTTATTAGGGAGTTCCTGCGATATGCACTGGCATCACATCAAAGGGAATAGAACTGTTTTCAGGCATTCCATGTCATATTTAGAAACCGGCAATAACCCCGGCCGAATAAGTCATATTGGTGAGAAAGAATGTTGCTTTTATTTACCAATCTCACCCCAGCTACAGCATTTCTTGGCGAATCTGCAAAGTTCAAGCTGGGTGTTAGAGAGAGTTTTTGACACTTTGTACTGTCCTCAGTTTGGATTTTTACAATAATTTGTCCAAGTTTTCGAACAGAGTTATCCCATATGCTAGCTTTGCGAAGTAACCGTGTACTCATTGAACCATGGCTTATATCGCTTGCGACTCAGTCTGCTGCATGTACTTTTGTCTGTTTCCACTACAAAAGTTCGTTGTCCTGTTTGTCCCGCTTGTCCCCTACTGCCCGTTATACTAATCCCTAATTCATAAACCGTTATTTTCAATCAATGAAGATAATCCTTTTAACGACCACACACTCCGCCACAACAGAGCGCGTGGTAAGCTTATCTTCTTAATCCGGATAAAACTGTCTTTATTGACGTCGGTGTATTTTGTGATTCGTCTGATTATAGCCGTCAAAACGAAATCTATTTATTGCAAAAAGTTCGCATTGAATATTTTGATTGGCATGCGCGTGGCAATTCCGTTGAGAAGAAATATTGAAATGTATAACGGCTATTCACATTTTTATTCATTTATTAGACCCACACAATTTTAAACCTTGAACGACTTAGCAATGCCTAACATTTTGTTTGTGAATATAGACAAAAGCAGTTCAACAACCACATACAAGGCCAAATTCTGGAGAGGTTGCAGCATGCATAATTATCTTTTAAAGGCCATCATCATCTTTTGATATTAATTTCAAAAGCACGCGTTTTGGCCTTGACATTTTTTTATAACAAAGCCGACCGCGATATGAAATCTGGACAAACAACATACTGGCTACCAGGTGCACCTTGAAATTCGGTGTTCAACTTGGCGCCAAATTTTTTACGATTTGTGATATTAAAAATGTTTGTGTTCTTTTTGTGTTAATTATCGTTCTTCGGGATTTTGTGTATCTTTATCTACACCTTGTTTGGGGAAAATTGTATCAACATTACATTGTCAAAGTTACATAAACCTAGTTTGTTTTCATCCTTTTAAATTTTGTGAATTCGATCTCCGAGTTGTATGCTACTCATCTGGGGGAAAATAGATTACATTCGAACTTGTTTGATGAGCAAAATGAATAAAGTGCGCCCTCCGTTGAAATAGGGGGAGTGTGGCCGCGCGCCCAGAGGTTAGTAAACAAATAATGAATGTTTGTGAGTGCAATGGTAAGAATAATTTCATGAGGTGACAGATGAAATGTTCGCCTCGTGGAATGGAACATTTCATCTGTCACCGAATGAAATGAATGAAATTATTCTTTCCATTGCACGAACGTGAAACATTCATTATTTATTTTATATAACACCTGAATAATTCCTTGTCATCTGATTGGTTGACTTTTAATAGCCAATTTATTCAGGTTAAAAATTGTTTAATAGTTCAACAAGTTCATCATATTTATATTAATGCAAACTGTTCAACAGGTTGAGAACAATCATATTCAATTTATCTCGACTTAAAACAGCACAACCACCAGCAGCAGTGACACAGTGCAATGGAAGTTTTATTCACAGTGCAATAGAACTTCCATTGCACTGTGCTCTGCGCGCCACGCGCGCGCCGTGCGTTGGTACGAATAATTCAATGACATGTGATCAACGATCCACCAATCAGATAACGGGGATTTATTCAGGTGTTGTATAATAAATTATAATTATTCATGAACGTACTTTTAATTAGTGAATCTATTTGATTAAGCCTTCCATATTATTTTTTACGACATACTGTACTCCTGCCGCCGGGTTGACCTTTCTACACAATGATCAATCATTTCAGAATTTCAAATATTTAAAAAATATTTATTTTCGCGTCGTACTTTTGTTCGGCCACGTGTGTGCACTTGACCATTGTGGTCTAACCTCACGTTCTAAAAAGACAGACATCGACCGACATTTAGTCAACTGAAATAAACATTGCTGCAACGAATTCACCAATAGCAACTCGGAGCATTCCCTGTATTTATCTCCAGGTCGCGAATGGCTGTCAAGTGACCATTGTCTGTGACAATGGTGCAACCAGACGTATCTATTATTCATATGAAAATAAACGGTCTTCGCGCATTGAAGATGGCCTGTTCGAAATCAAACCACCTAATTTGAATAGGGGTGGCACTGGTTCATCTGAATATTGCATGTCAAACGACAACAGGTTGGTACCCCTAATGAACAGTTCATCAAATTTGTATTCTATTATGATTATAATGATGTTTTATTTAAACCAAATTGAACATTATAATCCGATTAATAGGACGACAAATCAAATAGTTTCAATGGACATAATATTTTGGAACACCTTCTAGAAAATGGACTAGTCCATTGATCACCACTTCTTTTCAAAGTTTGTGTACTCTAGCACTTTGGGGCAGGTGTTCCTAGCGTCCCCTGAAACGTGTGCCGCGTACGTTGTTATGTTTAACACGCAAATTAATAATATAAATTCGCAGAACAACACTTTTAAAGCTCTTTATGCGAATGGTACACTAAAATAATTGCTCGTCGAAACAGTGGTCGCTACGGGGAATATTCAGAGATTACTGTCAGTGTGAATTCGAACCTAAAGGGATTTTCTGAAGGATTATTATTTTCAGCCTCATAGATTTCGATCGGAATACGAGATACAAAACGGTAAGTGACAATATATTTCTCTGATATTTTCAATTGAAAAATAATTGGAACTTAAATATTTTGTCTTCTGCTTGATTGTTATTTTGTTAAATATTTAATTATCTTACCATATATGCTTGTTCAAGTTGTTGGCGAAATACACATAAACAACAATTTTGTTGACCTTTCTTTTTTATAATTTTGCCACCTTCACAACTCATTAGGGTGTGTGAAAAATATATATATTGAAATCGGAGGCTTCAGTGCTGTTAGGGTTATGGCAAATTGTGTGATATTGCAATTTTATTTTGAAAACAACAACAACAGCAACAACAACATACAAATTAACATTTAACGAATATTCCTTGTTTCATGGTGACAGGAAACGAAAGTTATGATATTAATGCCATTTAAGAAAATATTAAGCATTCATGATAAGTTGACAGTCGTTGAAGCTATAAATGAGATGAAATTATAACGTCTGCATTTTCGTCTTATTTATTTTGAAAGGTACGTTTACTCTAAAAAGAAATGAAACATGAAACATTAAATCCAAGTTACTGTAAATTGGACTAACTATTCCTTAATTCCACTTAGAATTGGTTTGAAAAAGAAATTAGTAAATAATTAGCCCCATAAATGTGGCCAATTTACTGGATTACTTCCGTAAATAAGGCCACACTTGGAACATGTACCTGAACATGTAGAACTTTGTAAAATTTGGATGTTCACATTTAGGCTTCATTTGTAGTTTATTAACGCTTTAGAGGCATACTCACCCTCTTTATAGCGATATAAAATGTATGCCCCCTTTTTCAGACATCTACTTTTCGTGTAATTTCGTGTTGGGATTTAGATACGCAAACGTGTCCAAACGAATCTATCGCTATAAAGAGGCTGAGTATGCTTCTAAAGCGTAAATAAACTACAACTAAAGCCTAAATGTGAAAATCAAAATTTGACAAAGTTCGACATGTTTTTGTAGTCCAGTAAATTGGCCACATTTATGGGGCTAGTAAAATAACTTGAAATTTTAAGTTACATGTGTTTATAAAAGCTAAAATGGTACTATGATTTTATCTGTTTAGTGTTAAAAAAAGAAAGATAACAATACATGCATGTACACGTGCATGCCTGACATTCCAACGAAATGATGTCATCATCCAGGGATTTACCAATTCGATAACTTATCGAATTTCGAAATTATTTGTAGCGGCAGTTTATTATTAAAATACAGGCATGGACTTTGTGTATAGGTGTGGTATTTGTAACATCCGGATTCATTCAAAAGACATGCTGCGCTGGGGCAATGATTAAAAACAATGAGAAAACATAACCGGGACTACTTCTTTTCATTTTATACTTTTGGTAACATGTATTATGTATTACAATGTACATATCTACAAGGTATTGTTTTGACTTGAGATATTTTATTGTACATGCGAAGTCATCAGATGATTAATACATTCGGCCCTGGATAATGCATGAATCAGCCGTTATTTTTACATCTGTGAGTCATGTTGTTGTTTTCAGCATTTTAATGACACATCGCGGGAGTTGTTTAATGACTCATGAATAATCATGAAGTTTGCCGTTTGTGCAGCGCAGACTGCAAGCGCCTAAAATCATTATACATGTACAATGTACATGTACATCATAGCATACACCGCAAAACCCTCCACAAAGTAAAATGATCCGAGGAACAAGAACACTAAAAATATCTGTGGTATGTATAATAAATTGCATTAAATTTCTTTCCTTTTTTCCCAATTACTATGGACCATATGTCATGTGTTTATTAAGATTTTAAATCATAAAAACAGTTTAAAAAATATTAGAGCTTTTTTTTGTATTTAAAGCCATTCTTTTGTAAAATAACTAGCAGTTCGACTAATCATAATTATTACAATCAATATATATATTGTATAAATATTCTTTTTGATTCTGTACGACATCGACAGGGCAGTAAAACTGTCAAAATTTTGCCCATTTCATGCAAATAAGTCAAAGGTCACGTGACTCTCCAACTAACTACATATGCGGAGGGTTACTGTAAAAAAAAATAGTTTCGACCAATTTCGTCTTTGAATCATAAATAAACACAGAAATAAGTGAAACATGGGAAATAAATATATAAGTTGAAATAATATTTTAGCAAAATTAAGAGGAAAAATTTACATACTTTCTGTCTGCATTTTCAAGGTTTATCTTCGCGCGGATGTATACTAGACAGTAGAGCGGCCAAAATATGAAATCAAACGTATAGTCCGCTAGCGCGTTGTACTGTATGCATGGTGTACGTGAAATTTGTCGTGCTGCGCCTATTGTGAATTGGGCATAGAGAGTGTCCATGTGCCTTCATTAAAATCATTTATTTTCACTAGTTTGCAAATGTCCTAGGATCTAGTAAATTGGTGGCAAAATCAGGTAAGTCGTTCACTGTAAGAACAATTTAAAATACTGGTGTTGGGAGTTTTTTTGTGGGTCTGTGCGACAGTTTTGGCGCATGTAAGTCACGTTAACGAAATGTATTGCATTGCCAGTATGCTGTGCATGTGTCAAGTGGTTTTTGCAACCGTTTGTGAAGCCGACCCAACCCACTTCACGCATATGTCACGTGTGCTTACCAACGTTCGTCCGCGGCAGATGTGGCAAGATTTTTCAAACCAGCTTTGTCGCTATTCTAAAGGCTGCTTACGATCTGAATGTTTGATGTAAATGATGTCCATTTTAAAAGAATTTCACTGCATAAATTATACGTTTTAAATGGAGATCACGATATTGAAAATGACACGAGAATGACAAGGACATGAAGGAAGAGGCTAATTTGAATTTTACCGGGAATTTGTATTCACCAGTTGCGATATGGATTATCGTTTTGTTTCGGTCATGTCGGTGTTGGAGCATCGAGCCAGGAAACATTGTTCCCCATTGATTTAAATTTATACAACATTTTAATAGTTATTTATGCCCTATTTTATGGGTTTTTTTTTATTCTTTGCTTGACGTTACTTCAACAACATGTTCAACAACAGTGCAAATTTTGTGTAACGTTTATTATCATGATCGTGGCAATTTGAGTTAAAAAGTTAAGATTTTTTTGGCAGGACTGATGTCATGTGCTGGTGCTGTGTGAAAGTGCTGCCATTTCTTCAATTCAAGCAAGTGACATCTGGTGCAGTCGTTTCTTCCCTTTTTTGTTAACAATTCTTTATTGTCTGTTTTTCTAATTGAAATTGCAGGAGTAGAGAATAACCAATTGGATAATATTTTCTTGCAACCATGGCAAGTAAAATCAAGGGGATCTTCCATCGGAAGCCTCATGGACCGAGTGCTGAACGGCAGAGGCTACAGAAAGAGCTGTTTGCATTCAACAAGGTGAGGCCGAGTGTTAGAATTCAAATGTCTGAATGTGCTGGTACTGGTAGTCGTAATCTTAATTATTTCAAAGTAAGATGGTGGTAGGCCTATAGATCCGTGGGAAAGAATGCAGTATCCAGACACCACTTCAGCGGTTGTGTACAAAGTCTATGGAGAGTCAAGACGAATTTCAAAAGTACAAACTTGGACTTGTATGTCATTTATGTTTATCAGTCCCAGATTTATGTTTTGAACATTTTTGCAATGACCGACCTCCATTGAGATGGTGATGAAAAAAGTGGCGTCAGGATGCAACATTCTCTCCGATCCCTGAAATTTAAGAGTTGTATTGAACAGGATCACATTTAATTAACTGGACTTGAACTTGAAAAAGAAAAAAAAATGTCTTACAGAAATTATGCCGGCTAATGGAAAATATCTTATTTCTTCAAACACAATTGTTTTGTTGGTTGCCATGTGTTACCGTGCAGTATCTAAGACTCCAAAACCATTTGGTTCCAAAAAAATTAAAATTGAACTAGAAGTAGAACTAGAAGGCTGCATTAAACTTCCTGAATATTTGTTCTGCCTAAAAGTTTTCATTCTACTTTTACTTTGGAACAGCATCTTGATTAAAACGCTTTGCTTTAAACTTGAGGACCTTGCCTTCATGTTGAAACAGCTTAGGCCAAAAAAAAAGTCTCCGGTTTCTGGTATGGAGCTTGCCCAAAAAGTGGTGCGGCGACGCGGCTTTTTTTTTTTTTTTACCTGATTTTTTTTGCTTCAAATGTCGGCTGATGACTGCAAATGGTGCCCGACTAAACTTAGTGCAAATATATGGGAGTCCAGTGAGGCCACATAAAGCTTATTCTCGACCATAACCCAATCTAAAAACACGTTAAAATTGTGCAGCAGCAGGATTCCAGTCAAACCAGTGAGTTTGGCGGTTTTGAGACATCATCTTTCATTGAAAAAAACCTTTTTCATTTTGCCGACGCGCATGGCTACGGCGACGCGCGCGCATACCAGAAACCGGAGACTTTTTTTGTTGGCCTTACCCCAGTAACCACACTTCTATGTGTGAAAACTTATTAACATCAACAATACATTAGTTTGATAATTTTTCAGTTATCTCATCTCACCTGAGTGATACTGTGTCCATGTAACACGTACCTCATGATCAGCATAAAAGAAAGCAAACATTGTCTGGCCTACCCAAGTACCCAGCCAGCAGCCTTGCTAACTACACTTCAAACATCCATGTGCCAAACCAAATATCGCATTCCTAGTTAATGACCTCAAGTTCAAAGTTCCACACATGGAGTTGTAGCTTTTTCCAACTGATATTCAAGTATTTCAGTTTTCATTAGATAATGACGTGATTAACATCTGCCCTCCAATGTTGCTCAGTTTAGTGTTCGAACATGGTTTTCATCCGCGTTACGTGAAAATATCTAAAGGAATTTTTCAGCTCTGAAATGTGTAGGGGGTTGGGTTTTGTATTGGAGTAATTTAGTTTTTGCTCTTTAGAGTTTTGTTCAAACCTACCAACTGCCATGTCTTCCAAAATGCACAAGGATGTTTTAGAGGCTTTTGTAGAATTGAAAGATGTTTTGGAGGATTTGTAGGATTGAGGAAGGTAGAACTCAAAATTTGACCTTTTCTTACAAGAAATGTGCCTATGGGTTCCACACTGGTGGATTTTGTAGGATTCAGCAAGGTTCCGTGCAAGAGTTGTATCATGAGCAGATGCCTCAAATCTATTGACAAACACTTGTTTGGATTAGGTTATGTTTAATATTTCTCCCTTCTAAAATATATTAGTGTCTGCATTCATACTATAGTCGGCTGCAAACCGACTACCATGACACATTACTGAGTCACTCATATGGAGTACAAATACCACTCTAGTTTGAAGTGGGCACATTGCCAACAACATGCCCTAGGTATTGCTACTGTGCAGCCAACAGTCAGTCATCATGAATGAATGGGGACGTTGACCTGGTTATTGACTGTCCGTTCCTTGCTCTAGGGTCTGTGATATGTCAATCAGTCTGTCCATTTCACCCTAAATTATATTTTTTTCATATTGCTTGATGGATTTCACCAAAATTAAAATCAAGTGACAAGTCTGATTTAGTCTTGATAAACTTGTCGATCATCATAATACTGAAGGGGCAAGACAACATAAATTTACAGGGGGCATAATGTCATACATAATAACTGACAAAAGTATTCCATGGACTGGGAGGACTCCAGCACAAGTACATGTGCATGTCCTCATAACTTGCAAGTAAAAAAGCTTTGGGTTAAAGTTGAAAAATGCAGTGTATAATTGTACCTTTTATGCTTGAAATGCGCAGCATTTTATATTTGATCCCACATCTGCTCAGTGATCATACAAAGAATATTTCACATCCCTCTTGTAGTTTGAAAAAGAAAAAAAAAATCCACTTTTTTTTCGCCAAATGTCCAGAGCCCATAATCGGAGGAAATATTACTTCCAGGCCCTTCTGCCAAACACGCACTTCAATTCCCTAGCCACCTCTTCAGGAGAATCCCAATGACACATTCGCTGCTTGATTAACGACCATCTGTCCCCCGGGCCCCCCTTCAAACTAAAACGACATGCCCTGCATACCTAACTCTGTTTGATATATCACCCATTTTCTAATCCCCTTCATTTATGATTTTTATTTTAGACTGTGGAGCATGGATTTCCCCACAAGCCCAGCGCCTTGGCCTATGACCCCAAGCTGAAACTTCTGGCCATCGGAACTCAGAGCGGAGTCATCAAGATGTATCCTTTTTCTTTTGCTCTTCTGTTTTTCATTTCGTTCGTCTCCCCCATCTTCTTTTGCCTCGGAGCATTTGATGAATGGCACCAGACGGTATCGATTTTCTAGGCAGGATTTGGAGGACCATGACTTGAGGTAACAACAGTCAAATGTAAGATGGCTTTTTCTTTTTGCCCATATTTAGGCAGAAATTCACGATCAGCGATTTGTACGAGTCAGGGTTGTTCTGTCTATTTTTTCCCCCGGAGGTTTCCCGCTTCCATTGGGTTTCATTTCATGAACGGAACATTTCCCCAATTGCGGGGGAAACTTCATAAATGCAAACCTTTAAAAAAAAAGGGTTATTATATGATAATGAATCAGTTAAAGAAAAAGTGATGAGTTGTTCAATTTCCTGTGATAATGAAAGAGATTTTGCAAAATGTGAAACCACCCAGTATTTTTATATTTTATAATAATAATAAAATAAATGTATATTTAAGCACATGTATCCACCAATGTTGTGCTTAAGGCGCACATCAATATATTTTGTAACATGAAATTGAACAGCGTGCACGGTTTAACATATAATACTTAACAAATTGAATAGTACAAATCCTACACTGCATAAATAAATCTTCAACCATATAATGCAATCTGTGTCAGTTCTTTCGAAACAGCAAAATTAATTTGTCAATCCTTTCGATATCAAGCGAACTTTGTACTTGCACTCACACCCAACCTGAACATGCACGATAGATCAATAAAAAAAAATTCCCGCCACTGCACTGAAAAGCCACTTCAAAAGTTTGAAGGGTCAGTTAAAGTTGCAATGTTTGTCCCGCCAAAAAAACAGAAAGAAGAAATGGAGGACCGAAATCGGGGACAAAGAACCCGAACAAACATGAAGTCCTTTTGTTGGATTCACAGTCAATTGTTGTCTACGGGTCCAAGGTCACCGTCTCAGTGCCGATGTGTTGGTGCACGTAGCGTGTATCCCCCGGTACTTTGCAATGGCTGCACCATGCTTTTGTGTGCTCTGGTTACCGGCTACACGTGCATTGTGGTATAGTTTACTTAGTCATGTCTGCGGAACTTGAGTTTAATCCCCCACATCTGTAGATTGCTTAAAATATATTCCTGCAAGCTTTTAAATTTAACAAGAGTACAATATAAAATTGTTAAATTTTTCGAAGCACTAAATTACATGTACATCCATGTACTCACTTTGCAATTTCGGAGAATCCATGAAAACCATATTGGAATACTTGTTGGGAGAATTTGCAAAGAATATTTACATGTTTTAATGTAAGTGTACTCTCTGACTGTAACTCATTTTTGTATTTGCTGGTTTTACATTACTCAGGCATGCAACTTGTCCTCGGATCAGCTGATTTCCTGTTTTTTTACTTCCCATGTGTACCATTGAAAATAGAAAAACACTGTACAAAGTCTGGGAAAAATTTGAATTTCCTCCTTTTTTTGGTGATTTCCCAGTTGCATTCCTGATTACTGTGCGTTACAGTTCCAGCTTGTTCACACTCGAAGCACTCCACACCAACTACATGTTGCCAATGTCAAATAATTCAGCTGGCTTTACTTTTTGTGTAAAGTTGATGGTTTAATTATATTCTGTCGTGGATGAAAGGGAACCGACATTGTTCTGGTGCATACACCAGAATAATTTATAATTCCCCGTCGCATTTTTCATTTGCGGCAAGGTGATTTGGTATTATTTATTGTCACACGCAAATCATGAAGGCTAGTATGCCTTATCAACACAGTGGAGGTTTTTGTTTTGCAGTTGGCAGTCAGGAATAAACGAACAAAAGAGCATTGTTAATATGCGGGAAGTTTGCAATAAAAATCAGACACTTCGCCATATCTGTTTAGTTCTGTTTGACAATCTTGTTGACTGTGGATAGGCAGACTATTCAGTAACCACATTGGCCAACCCGGAAGTTGTTCATTTAGGAAACAGGGACTGTTGATTGATTACTTAAGACTGAGGCAGGTGTAATCCCTGCCTAGCATCTCAGTCTCACCACGATCTCACTGAACTCTGGTAGTCATTCCTTTTGACAGTGTATTTATTGTAGATCTTTGAGTATTAACATTTCGGCTAGTCTTGAGGTCATTGCTACACATGTTTGGGTTTTAGGATAAACACAAAAGACGTGACACAATTCTTAAAACATTTTTTTTTGTAAACTTGATGAAAATGATCCATGTACTAAACAAATGTTCCTAGTTTAATATAAATATGGAACTCTTTTTGATTCAACATAAGAAACGTGCATACAGGGCTGTTTGTTTGTCAACAATGTTTTGCCATTACTAGCTAAGCAATTTATACCATATTATTACATGTACTGGTATGTAAAGGAAGGAGTACTTATATCTCATGACTGGCCTGGCAAGGTTTTTTTTGTTTGCATTGCTAAATTATTCACACATTTACTCAAATTGAAAGCATTGAATTCACCTGTTGCCGTGAACAATGGTGAATTGAAGATTAGTGCAGTCATGTCAAACTACACACGTTCAGTGTACATGTACACGTAATGTGCAGTCATAGTTGAAACGATGAAAAGCGAAACCATGGTAATTTTATGCCTGAACAAACCCTTTGGCCCCCATCAAATCAGGCAGGGACAATTGGCCATGAAGGACTGCGATCCCCCAAAACATCATCTGGTGATGATAACGCCCTGGTAGTAAGCATGCAGCAGGTGAAGATATTTCAGTCTGTCACACAGTGATGCATTGAGCCTGGTCTTGACCCCTGTCTCCCCAGGCACTAGTCCGCTACTGCACTCACCCATGCTCTTTTCTGCATCCCCTGGGGCTGGGAAGCGTTTTATAAATCACATGCATTTGCTGCTTGTCAAGTCTGCATACCTTACTGTCAGCACAGCAGGGCGGATAGGACAGATTCTAATGCATGGATTCTAGACTTGTTTGACATTCACTCAGGGGTGTGCTAGTGTAGTGGGTGACTCATCATACACGTGTACATGCCTGTATGCATTGTATCAGTGTTACTGATTATCTGAAAAGTAGTGGATTGGTCAATAGATGAAGTGGTCCAAAAATAGTGGCACAACTGTAGTTGGGAAATTTAATGAATGAGAGTTTAGAATGAAGAACGAATAACCAAAGAGGCTACTTATCAAAGAACAATTTTTGTTTTCTTTTTTTAATGGCGAGCTTTTACCGTACATTTAGATATCACTTTCTGTTGCATGGTACCCATTGGCTTAAAATGTAACTTTACCAACAACCCTCCACTTCCTCCAACCCCCCCCCCCTATTCCCTCCCCTCAGCCACCATTTCTGACATCCAGACATAGGCCCTATTTCATTTGAAACAATACGATGCCAGTCATGCGGTTGCAAGTTCAACTCAAACTGTCCTTCATCCAAGCAGGAAGCATTTGGTTTTACAATTTCCTAACATTTGCATTTGGGAACCACAAAAGGATGTGACGGGTTTCAATGGACGAAAAGACCTTGTAGAAATGCCTACACATTTGATTTTACACTCATGTAAACAGGAAAAACATCTTTCCAGCACTCTAAGTTTTATACTGCTAAAGATATTTCCCAACTGCCCTTTTTTTCAGCAACCCACATTTAACAAGTACGAGGTTGGAGTTTGCTCTCCACTTTGACCCAGACGATGATAAAAGACCTGTCTAGATCCCCAACCCACGCCAATTTCCCATTCATAGCCGTTTGCAGCCCCACTTCAGCAAGCCTACAGCCATGCACGAGCTGAATACAAATTAAACACGTACCGGGTACATGTACATGTTCTGAATGAACTTGTGGACTATGTACAGAATACACATGGAGCAAAGAAAACAGCGCCCATGTACATACATGTATGTGTTTAGTTCCAGACAACGGGCCATGGGCTTTAGATGGCATTGATAGATGAAAGGATTGACCTCGGACAAGGTCACATGATTTTAATCCCCTTGGCAGACCCCTGAAGTAAATGATGCACCAGCCCCTCCCAGGGCCACACTAGGTCCACAGTTTTCCCAAACACCATCCTAGGCAAAACTTTAGCTGACAAATGACTGTAAATCTGGCTCCCATTTGTCGACTGGAAAACAAGTTTGTTCACCTGTGGACCCTCATGTGAATTTGTTATCCCTATTCTGGGTGCACATAATGTGTTCCAGCTAGGGCTGTGCATCGCACCCGAGTACCCGACTTGATATTAGAAACGGTTTCCATATTATAGGATCGGGTGCTGTAACCAACTTTACAAATAACTTAGTAACTTCTCAGACGGTGAAAAAGAAAGGTTTCGAATACCATTTGCAGGGAACTTTCAAAATTGAACGCCAGGCTACATGGGAAAACGAACATATTTCACGTTTATGAAATTGCAGTTTTCGCTGTCAAGCTACCGTATAGAGCTCACTGTACACACTTGTATCTTGCTGTGTTGATGCACCAATGTTGTAGTGTTATCGTGCGGACCTTTATGAAAAATCTGAACAGCAGCTGTCGAGATTTGAATTTTGGGGTTGGCCTTCTTGGGCTTTTCAATTTGTTTCCTGGTTTCCATACTATCCATTAATTAATGCACATTCCCATTTCCAGTTCTTTTTACCTGTTTTTGGACAAGGTACCGAATATTTCTGTCATTTTTAGAACCCTGGGAAGCGACCAAAATATAAACTTCCAACGGCCCAATTAAACTCTGCCGAACTTTTGCCCGTTCACGGAGTACCGGTATATTTCATGTGCAATGTATCAAATATTATGGAGGAACAGAAAATAGAACCAGGCCATAAATTTTAATGTCCATGTGATATCTGTTATCATATTGCTTAAAAAATGAAGAGAAACATGGAATTGCCACCTGCCCCAGATATTCAGTACCTAACAAAGCGAGTGAGTTTTCACACAGTCTGTGCTCTAACAGGTCACATGTGCATCTGGTTTTTGAATCGAAATCATATCCGAGGGCTGAAAATGCACAATTGATGAATTGGCCAGACTT